GCCTAGACCGACGTTCTTCCACGAAACTATCGTAAGGTGTGGAGGTCGGGTCCTCGTATTGATTGGAGCTGTGAGACAGTATCAGTGAGCCTTTAACCGCATTTGACCCGATTGTGACCTGTGTCGGAGGCTTCGAGTGCCTCGGAGGCTTCGATTGTCTAGCGAGACGCCCGCAATGGAGATTTCACTAGGCTATGGAGCTCTTCTGACGAGACCCATTCTATTAGTAACCTCGAGGCAATAAATTGTACCGACCTTGCTGGAAATACTCGGAAGTCGAGCGACGAGGTTTATTTCCGCGCAGTTCCAGGCGCATCCTTTGTTGAATCTCACAGACGCTTTCGCGAAATGTGAGCGTGTTCGCTTCTCCATTCTTCTCGGCCTCGACTTGGTATTATTTCAAAGCAGATTTCCGCGCTAAGCTCTTTCGCTATTTAGTTTGTTGCATTTTCGTCGCTGGATGCCTGCGGGCGTTTCAAGCCGACTTGTCGGCGGTCGTACAGTGCGCGATCAGCCAGCGCGAGACAGCGGTCTCGAAATCGCAACGGAGAGCGAGCCGAACTTCCTACCAGAATTTGCGAAACAGGAGTTGCTATAGTGTACTTTAGCGATCGCTCTTCTCACGAACTCGATCCAATCTTACGTCGAGGGGAACACCGGGTTATCCTCCCCTCGAGTTTTCTCGATTTCGACGGTGGTCATGCCGCAGCGGTTGGGCCCTCGCTTCACGAGATGGAGCCGAAGCACGCATGCAATCCTCGATTTCCCTCCCCCTCCCGATATCGGATTCTCGAGATCGCTGCGCCCTTGCATCATTCGGGTTTGAACATCTCTTGGTCATCAACTGGTCATTCGCTCGAAATATGTATCCGTCTTGAATGATTTACATCTGTCGTGAACTACCTACGTCTCGGTGATTTCGCTCCGAGCTGTGGATCATCCGAGCTGACCACTTCGACTTCCGCGCATGTTCCGTCTCGCAAGAGACAGCGTTCAACGGCGCGGCTCCGGAGGAGCAGACTGCAATCAGAGTTGCGGGCGACCCTATGCACGGATCTAGACTTGGCCCCAGCTCTGGTCATCACAACAGACGCTCACGACAGGTATTTCTCAGAACATATATTCATCGAAAGCATTGAACCTACGTACGAACATACGGTATATCGAGGTTCAGTCCGACTTCGCGAGGGAAACTCTGCGTGGCTCCGTAGATGTATCTCTCTCATGAAGTGGTTTTCCGGAAGAGGAATCGAGAGGCGTTCCTCCCGGTCACCGCCTGGATTTCGTCCGTTCCGCTGACGCAAACCACGCACCTTTCCAGTCGAATCATTTTCTCCGACTATGGCTCGACTGTCGCTCGGCGATCGAGATTGCGCCGAAGCCTATAAACTTTGGATTCGCCCGGAAGGTCGCCGGAGGGAAAAAGAGAGCCTCTTCGAGATAGGAGTCGTCAGTATTGCTTTCGTATGTGTCCGAACCAGAGTGACGCGTGATTGGGAACAACGAATTCGTCGTATCCAGCATCGTAGGCAGGGCATTTCCGCCCGACAGATCATCAATGGAGGGAATCCAATGAATGATTGTACCATTATACGGACGGTGGGCGAAAAGGCGCAGGTCGACCACCTCCCGACGGTAGGTGGTAAGTCAGAGGCGCTCGATGATCAGGAGGATTCCAGGTCAGCCGGGTATCCGGGAGCCAAACGAACATCCGGACGGAAGCCGGTGTGCGTTAAGAAACAATACTCACGTTGGGACGAGGCAAGCACATCCATGAAACGTTCGGAGTCCACCTCGTGGGCCTCAATCTGCTTGATGAGACATCATCTCCCATCCCGGTTTTGGAGATCTGGACCGCCCCGGGTTATCCGGTGATCCCATGATTAGGATTCGTTGAGTTTTTGCATTTCTCCGATCGCGCCAGTGCTCTAGCTATATTTAGAATAGATCAGCCAGAATAATTCAGCTTCTTATAACGGAGGTGTCTCTATCGAGTCTAATGACGTCGTTCGGATGGATGTCATTTCAGCAGCGACTCACGTTCCCTATAAATCGACTCGTTAGCTGGATAGAACCCGAGGCCTCCGGGTTTTTCGTACCGGTGAGCACCTCTCGACAAGGGCGGAAACCCCGAACGGATTTATCTTGCGTGGACCGTGATGATATTTTCATTACCCGGCTCGAGCTCCTTGTATTGGGACTCCGTCACGGAGTTCGGAAATCGAGAGAAGGCTTCCCAATCGAATTGATCAATGTTGCGTAGCTGTGAGGTATCGACCATTGAATCCACGGATACTTTTGCCGGATTTCCATTACATCTATGGGGATGCTTCCACAGTCGAGTTTCGGGGCTTAGGTGGGCAGTGGAGCTTGGAGGCGGAGATGGCGAGCCAATTCGCAAAAGAGAACTAAGGCGTTTTCAGATTGACACGGCTTCGAATGAAAATCGAGATTTCGATGAGAGACAGAAATGGAAGAATCAATTAGAGCCGGCTTGTATTCCTTCCGGTGAATTCGATGCTTGAGTTCTCATCAGAGCCCTCTCATCCATCATTTTCCCCTCCTCTTCAAATCGACCGCAGATTGTCCTCCATCAGCTGACATGTCCGGTCTCGAGGAGATCCTATGAATCAGATCCACAGACAGAGACAGACGGAGACATTTGATTCCATCGCTCAATGCCAATCGTTCCCGTGTCAGAACGCGAGACGCGAGGACATCGATAGCTAGATGAACGGATGACACCCCCTTAGAAACGGAGTACTCATGGGGCTGGGAACGCGGAGGTGGACCTTCTACTGAGGGGAGAGCGTAGCGTGTAAGAGAGAGAGACACTGTGAGCGGGGGTACATGGCTCATCAGCGGCTGATCGAAGGAGGAATGTACCTAGCAAGGGTTTCAAGCATGCAATAGTGACTACTACGAACGATAGTCCCACTGCGAACGGGCATTATGAGCGCGCGTAAAAGCAGCCTCATTGTGATCACCGAGCGACACGGGTCACTTTAGGTCGTCGGCGCTGTTTGCAATCTCGACCCATACACATTCTCTCTTACCGCACGGTGGGACGGCTAAAAGCCAATAGAACCGCCTGAATAGATGGGTGGATGGGTGTGCTAGCTCAGTCCGGCTGCTTAGAAGTCGCTAATGCCCTTCACGGTTATAAATATTCCCGTTGCTAATTCCGACACGGACGAACCTCCATCCTTCCGACGCACTCGTCCAGGGTTTATGAAAGGTGCGGCGCTTTGCCCTCCAACGCAGCCGACCGATACGGATCAAGTTGATAATTTCCCATCTGATGATAGGAGCGAAATCACGGGGATCGAAAGATACATTCACGATAAGTTGGAAGTCGACGATCGTAGGGCTGCAACTGCCCCACACGAGGAACGCGGTCACTACGAATTATGAGTGCAGCGGTAAAAGACGGAGCCCTGCGGGTTTCGTTGTGAGAACTTCCACTGTAATTATTAGCAGATCGTGAGGCGCTCGAGCGAAGCTGCGAACCACGAGAGCGTCATGTGAGCGCGCTCCTGAAAAAGTAACCGACGCGACGCTGATCCCGTTAGATTGCCACTCATGGTTTCCAGAAAGAACTTGACTGGGAAGGCTCGATGCGGCTCTCACTGCTGCAGTCACAACCTTCGAGCAAGGGTTCGTGAAAGGAGCTCCCTGGTTCTTCCCCGCTTCACGACCCTTTACTGACCGAATGAGAGTCCGCGCCGCACGTATGGGTTGACGGGTGAAGACAGCGGCTCCGAGCCCGAATCGAGTGCTCATCATGTCGTCGTCATGAAGAGGTACTCAGGGAGATGACGCGCATCTTGTTGAGCGTTGATACACGAAGCTAGAGATTCAACGAGATGGAAAGCCCTTCCGATATGTCAGAACCTCTTCTATTCCTGAGAGAGGAAAGGATCTTGTCGGCGACTAGCCCGTCGGGGCCAAAAAAAGAGGGATGAACGCCACCTCCTCTCCGCGCTCTTTATCTGCTGACTTTATCTAATGCAGGACGAGAGTGAATTTCTCATTCGGGACCTGTAGATACGTTCAAAATCCCCGACACTCCCAAAGAAACCTTTAATCTTGATCATAAGTGCTCGCTCGAAGTATAGCTGTCGAAGATTGCTTAAAACTTGAAATTCTTATTCGTCCACGAGAATTCTTCGAGGCAATTTTGTCCAGGCAGCACCTTGCCAGAGGCGTGGGAAAAGTTCCTGAAAGCGGAACGTGACTAAACACGGAGAGAGGCACGCTTAAGACTACACGTGCCTGCGTTCAAGCAGGAACTCGCAGTTTGTTCTTGACGCGCATACACGTGCGATTTCCGACGTCAGACCGGCCAGATCGTGACGCGAGGGGTCGCTCCCCCCGCGCATATGATGAGGAAGGAATATCGAAGCCGCGGGGGTTCTTATACGAAAGTCCTCATCGGTGAACTCTTCGACTTTCTTGTCGAGCAGAAATCCGGAGTCGGAAGTTTCGACGAGCGAGCTCGCCCAGCTCGCCGCAAAACAGGCTTTTGAGATTTTACTCCCCTCTCCTGACCTGAGCGGGGACGAGACGGTCAGCCGCAGACATGACTCCTCTGCGCTGCCGTTTGGGAATCCTTTTTTAGGCTCTCGAACTCTCTCGAGCTCACATTCAGGACAGAGTATCTGATTTACTGTTCAGGAAGGCTAGGCGATGGCGGAGGGAGGCACGAATGGGGTGAACAGAATGGCTAAGTGACTTGTCTGCGTCCCTACACCTACATACAGCACTATGTGAGGGAGAATGATTGGACTAATCATTGGACTTGTTGACAGTCGCAGACTGGGCACGTCGATTAAATCGCTGGCAGGGAGCAGACGAGAGAATAATCCGACTTTGCCGGCAATGCCGATATCATCGCTTGCATTTTCTGCTTCCTTCGGAACAGACTAAGTAAGCATGCATTCTTCAGGTGCGGTCGAGGCTCTGACGCTCTGACCATTCCGAATAGCCTGATCTTCTTTTTCAATATCGACAATTCAATTGATCCGACCAGCGGACCAGACGTATTTATTGCGTGGAGAGGAAGAAGACATCTTGGATGGACTCGTGATAAATCCTGTTGAACATGTTGAGGGCTGCCCGAGCCCACGATGGCGGAGAAATCTAGGGACGACGCTCCACAATCAGTGGGACGTCTCCGACCGGAACTAGGCTGACGTTCACCAACTTCCTTTTGGGAACTTCCTGTCCGGGCGTCGCTAGCTTCAGCTCGAAGTGCTTCAAGATGTGTGCGAGAGTGATTTTCATTTCAAGGAGCGCGAAGCGTTTTCCCAAGCACATTTTCGCACCCGCCCCAAAGGCTAGATAGTGCGGCTGGGAGCTGGCGTGGTTGTCGAGGAAGCGCTCCGGAGAGAATTTCTCTGGTTCCGGCCAGAACTTCTCGTTCATATGAATCGACGAAACCGCCGCCTGAATTCTGACTCCGCCCGGTATAGTATGGCCACCGAGCTTGATTTCCTGATCGCCCAGCCTTGACACCATAGTTATTACGGGCGAATACATTCGCAACGTTTCCAAGAGGAACGCTTCGGTTTGCTTCAGCTTGCTCACTTGCTCGTAATTGAGCGCTTCGTCGGTGTTCCATACGGCGCTTATTTCGGCGTAGAGTTTCTCTTGTTCGTCCGGGTGTTTGGAGAGCAGGAACGACGCCATGGTCGTCGTTATGGCTGTTGTCTCATATCCACCGACCAGGAAGAGAAAAGCGTTCGCGGCTATCTCGTCATCGGTGATTCGGTCGGATCCACTTTCCGCGGCGTCCATCATCAGCTGGATCATGTCCTCCATCCTCACCCCCCTATCTCTCCGACTTTTCACGACTTCGTGGATATTTTCCATCAAGCCAGTCATCAATGCGTAAGAGCTCGTGAATCTGTGAACACGGAATCCGTTAGCCAGAGAGAAAATTTATTTTCCTCAGAGCACGCTCGGGAAAAGAGGAGCGACCGATTCCGACCATACCTTGAGATCACGAGGAGCAGTCTCTCTATGATGGGCAGTCCGAGCGCCAAATGGTACGCTAGGTGGTCGGAGTTCGCCAGAAAGCCTCGCACGTCATTCAGAAACTTATCCTTGTCGTCGTGCAAGCAGTTTATCTTTGTCGCCAAAGCGCAGCGTGCGATAACGTCCAGTGTGACTTTCTGGCTCAGATCGAAGAAGCACACCGCTTCCCTGGTTCTCGCATATTTAGCTATTACCTGAGGAAATTCGACATCTAGTCTCGGGTCGTGCAAACAACCGGACGAGTCGTGACATTCAACGCATGTTGATCATAATCGCACTTACGCCCAACAATGTTTCCGCCGACTGGTTCATGAGGTTCATCATGAACTTCAGCTTCGACGCACTGAACGCAGGCGACAGCATGACTCTGACTCGTTTCCACCTCTGGTGAGGGACGAGGAGGAGTGTCTGATCCACAGGATACTGGCTCAGGGGTACAGGAGGTCGTTCTCTGAATATTGAGACGCTCTTGACGAAGACCTCCTTCACCATGTCAGGGTCACATATATTCAGGACAGGCACGTCTCCGATATAGTGACCGAAAACCGGACCGTACTGTTTTGCCCATCTATTTAAAACCTCCTCGGGGTCCTTGTGGATCGTCAGATGGTGGCCGAAAATCAATGAATCCGCCTCAGGACCAGGAATTCCCCATCTCTTGAATTGTTGATGTCGATAGCGTCTCTGTACGACCCATCCTACGACAAGAGAAACGAGCACTGACGTCCACCAAATGGCAAAAAGGTTGAAAGCACCGAACTCTCCAAGAAGATCACGCGGATCTCTGCGAGGTAGCCTCTGCACGAACTCCACGATGTCGTTCATCGTGTGAATGGAATGTCACAGCGCAAACCGCCCAAATATAAGTCAGACGCTGCGAGGATCCATGATCCGCAGGCGTCCCGTCTCCCCGTGTCGAGACTAAAGGATTAAAAAAAGATAAGGATCGGTCCGGTCGGTCCCAACGCCGGCAATCATTGCTCTTTGGGATATCCTCGGATATTAACTATTCGATCGCTCGAAGGTGGAATCCTATCCACTCGAACTCGATGAAAGAGTCTCGCACCATGCGCATGGTTCGCCCGGGAGCCGGCAGCTTCTCAACCCGGAAACGCTATGAAGAATTGGCGAGCCGCCGGCGAGAGACTCGGGAGGTCCGGGAGGGCGTGAGGTCCGCTGTCGAGGGCGATGAACTCATCGACTCCAGCGTTGTCCAGCGCAAGTTCGCCTCGGCTCACCCGATGGAGCTGACTACTTACGTCTCGAAGCAGACTGCGGGTAAGCGAGCGGAGGATTTAAGAACTGATCTCCCGACTATGCCAGGAGACAAGGGATCAAGAGGCGTAAGCTGGATGGAGAAATTCAGCGAGAGACAATTTCTCAGCTTACCGCACAAAGCGGGCTTCTACTCCGGCTTGGGGATTTCTCCCGATACGCCGTCGGTACCTCAAGTTCCTCATCGCGGACGCAGAGATCTTCCGGAAGTAGCTCTCGATATCCCTCGACTTCGAGAGACGTGTCCGACACTTATGTTCCGCGACGGAATCTCGATCACACGAGTCTCCGCCTACCATATCCTCAAGGCTTGAAACAAAAGTTATCATGGAGTTGGTCCGGATGGAATGAGGTTCTCTCTGGATTATCGGAGCTGCATCTTGTGTTCGAGGAGCTGTCGCATTCCGAGTTTGAGAGCGAAAATAAATTCAAACAGAGCTGTGATCGTGATGGCCCATGCCCGGTCGCACACCTCGCCGCTCCACGCCAATTCCTAATGCTCTCGGTACTTACCAACGAATGGAACTGCGGCGAAAGTCGCGGGGAACCGACAGCTTATACCCACAGGTGTACTCCTGGAAGATGAATGATTCTGGAGCCGCTCTACGGTAAACACCGGTCAGACATTCCCTAGCGGTTCTAATCGGGTGCAAGTCACTCACAGATCGTCCTTGTGGGCGGATCGGACGCCTCGAGGGTCATCAGGAGAGTGCGAAAAACCCGCCAGGGCGAATGTTAGAATCGACTGAGAGCAGTCAGAGTGCTGAAATATGCTAAATTGGCTCATGGTCACATCGAGACTTGTTGTCATCGCTCGCGCAGAACACACGTAGCTCTATATCAGAAGGCGACGAATTATCGTCACACAAGCCCGATGCGATCGGAACGGCGGGCTCGTGCAAGCATGCCCCTCCCCGGACAAAAACTCGCTCGACATAAGGAAGTGATGCCTGAATGTCATTCTCGCACTCTCGATTAACCCAACCCGATTCCGCGCAGCATCGCGTCTGTCGATCTAGAAGATTAAAACAACGACAGGAGCTTAAAGTTTTTAAGAAAACTGGCGATTTGGAGATCCTAGGACGTGATGTCTGTGAGCCCGGACGGCGCGAGAGGGAGATTATTAGGGCTCAGGCGAATTTCCCTCCGTTATAATTATGATTGCTCAAAGGGTTGATCGACGTACAAGGTCTCGAATATTATTCACGTCGTTTGCGCAGACGACTCACCGATCAAACCGTGCGGCTGGCAATCGTCGTCAAGAAAATGCTTTAGTCCATTATTATCAATCATTCATGAGTTATCGAATACACGAGCATCGTTCCGTCCATCTAGAAAACGATCAGCGAACGCAGCGACGAGCCGACTCACACGCGGTTCCTAAGGGGAGCTGTATCCGTCTTCGGTAGCTATATGAGCAGAGCAGCGTAAATTTTGGATCGGGAATATCCAACTCGCTTCGTCGCGAAGCTTCCGGATTTTGACTTGGTGAAGGAAAAAGCCGCTCCAACAGAAGCGGAGGCTCGGCAGGACCTTGTTATCGATATCACAGCCATGAAATCCGGGCGTTCCGGTCGCCGACTCGGTCCGTATTCATTTTCCTTCCGTCACCCGACCGCGTAAGTGCTCGGCATAATATTTCTCCCGGTACAAGTGTGGTCTGGACAAGGATGCATGCCTCTATCCCGAGCCCCAAAACCCTCGTCGCGGACGCGACACTATTCGAGCAACTGCTCAGACTCAGGACCGCCTGCGAGAACCAAGCACATCCGACTAAGGGATCGAGACTTAAGAGGTTTCAATCCGGAATCGTGTCGCACACCACATTGGGAACCACATTGATCCGGCTCAGAAGTGAAATATAGCTCTATGAGGGATTCCGACGGCACTGACTGAGAGAAGGGCTGCGAAAAGCTGTTCGAAGTCGAGCGTTCGAATTTTTTCCCTGACTCCCCTCATCTTCGGGTCAAGGCTGAGGGTTATTCTGCGATCTCCCAAAAGTTTGGAGAGTGCTTCGGGAACAGTTTTTTTTTCGCGCAACGCCAGTCGTTGAGTGTCCGGCAACTCGAAGAACTTCTTACAGCGGAGGCTCCCGCTCTATCGGCGGCGATACCGAGCACTACGAGTATCTACGACGCTCCGAACGATTGCTCCGGATTCGGTAGCGGAGAGAGATCTCGGTACGGGGAGATGTGCAGAGAATGGAGCATGCTCTTCCGTGCAGCCCGACGTCATCTTTGAGCGAACCGTCGCGTGAATGTGGACACTCCTCGGTCTCGTGTGACCTCTCCGACCTCCGGATCCCTCCGAAACTCAAATTCCGGTCGTGGAGCACTGCTCACTACGGAACATCAGCGGAGCAAACACTCTGCCAGCTCATATTGTGCGCAAAACAACAGCTGGAACTTCATCTCGCGCGTCAGCACCAATGGAGGTGCTCCATATACAGGAAATTGAACCCGTCTCTCAATTGCACTCCGCGGATCATGAAGAGGGCGAAGTATTGTTCGATTTTTCATCATTTTATCCAATTCTCTACTGCGATAGATTGACTTCCACGCTGAAGAGGAGTTCGTGCGGGGGCAATCCCGTGATATTGAAAATTATCAGAGGCGACTCCGTGATCGATGTGGTCGTGGGTCTCCGCTCTTGCGAGCTCGATAGATATAAAATGTCCGAAACTCGCGGCAGCAGTTCATTGATTCTCCGAGGCCCTCACGCCCTGACGAGTAGGAGGCGCTCTACGGTCTCTCACGAGCAACGCTGTGTTGTTTCAGCTTCACCCCATTGTAATCCGTTAACGAAAGCTGTCGGAATTAGAGAGTCCCCGATTTCCGAAACAATGCTCTCGCGGCATCGATGCCCTTGTTAAGTCTGAAAAAGGACACGCCGGGCTCCACATAAGGGGAATGAAGTTGACGCGCGAGTCGCTAACGAGAGGTATGCTTCCAAATGCTGCTCGGTCAGATGGGAGCAGAATGTTTGCCGCTTTGGCAGGCCACGAGTCGCTTTGCTCCTCGGAACTTCCAGAATATTTCCGCGCAGGAGCATAGCTGAATCGCTTGGCGCATGGGGAGCAGACGAACGCTTGGCCGAACGCATTCTCAGGAAAAATTGCCCCGTAAGCAGAATAGTGAATCAGCCCCTTTCAGAGACGTGGAAGCCCGTCGTGGTCCTCACAGTTCGAAAGGGAGTGCTCGGGAAGCACCTGTTTTTGAAGTCGGTTCTCCCATGCCAATGCCACGATTATCCCAACAGGGCAGAAAAATGAGCCCGATTCTGATCCTTAGGATAAGGTCAGACGCAAGCAAGAGAGTCGTGGGCTCTTCGTTATGATTTTCCTCACGCTTAACCGGCTAGCACTCGAGGGAGGACTGTCAGTTCGTACACGGAGCCATCTAAGGTTTATGTGTGGTCCTCCTCGAGACTGCAGCCACATCTAGCTTCACAGGGGCGAGCACGGTTCTCCAGGCGAGGTGATCCAATCAGGATCGCAAGCACTTATTCTCATGACCCGTGAGCGTATATAAACGAACAATGAGTAAGACGGATCACGGATGCATGCATATTCCGGAGGAGTATTCCGTAAAACAGTGAATGCTCAGCCGGAGAGAGGTGCGTCGATTCCGGCTCAGCCCCCATCTTGTGGGAAAAAGGAACGGCCCTGATGATAAGAGGAAGTATCAAGCCGCGACTCTGGATGATGTGTCAGGTGCTTTTCTCGGGAGTGGGAGCTTCATCCCGAGGGACGATACAGCGTCCGGGCTGGCATCTCGAGTCTATAGGAATGATTAGGTGCTGTAGGAAACGGCACTCATGGGAGTTCCTTGAACTGTTTGCCTTTTCATCTGCGGGAGAGCCGCTCTCCAGCTAGGCATTCCGCCTCACCTCGATTGTCTCCTGCCAAGAAAGACCTTCCCTCTGACGTTCCGACTCCACGCGGAGTGCAGATGCGACAGTGATTCGTAACAAGAATCCGAGCTGGGGTGTTTATGAGATCATGATTAATGTAAGCTGATTTTATATGACCGAACGAAATTCCTGCCTCAATTATGAGGCACCGATCGGGCTCGAGAACGGTTCTCACAGAAAGAGGGAATCGGTCTGACGATTGAGCGGAGGATCCGCGAATCGAATCAGGAGCTCGTCGTGGAGAATCGAGTCTCTGCCGTGCTTCAAGCAAAACGCACTTGCAGCGATCTGTGCTCAATTATGCAGCCATGCTCTTGAAGTGCTCGGAGCCGGCTCGGAGACTCCTGAATACGAACCTCCACTCTGATCTGGTTCTTGCTCGGCTTCCGCTCCGCTCCCCTTCCTGGAACATCTGTAGCTGCTCGGCACGTAAACGGAACGGTGTGCGTCCATGCCACGTGGGGAAGATGTGAGCCGATTCCACACTGACTTGATGCCCCTCATGTTCATCCAGACGCAACGAATTCCTGGGAGAGCTAAGGAAGCCTCATTTTCGACTTTTTCCAGGCCACATTCGCTGTACGGATACTTTTCGGGAGGATAGCCTGTCTTGCCAGTCTGGGGAATTGGGCATGACAACGTGTTT